GTTTTTCAAGAAAACTAATTTTGTAATATTTAAAAGTTCTCGGTCGCTACACTTCTAATGTGAGTTTAATGTTTAAATCTAGTAAAAATGGTGTTATCTTGAGGGGATATACAGATTCTGACTTTGATTGTGATAAAGATAATAGGAGATCAATTTCCTCTTATTTTTATACATTGTACGGTACTGTTGTGAGTTGGAAATCTTAGTTACAAAATGTTGTAACTTTATTTTCCACTAAAGCAGAATATATTGATGCTACAAATGCTATTAAAGAGGGAATATGGTTAAATGAATTGATTTTTGAACTTGATTTTTCTAAAATGATATTCTGTTACTATCTGATAACCAAAGTGCTATACATTTGAGCAAAAATCATATGTTTCATGATAAAACAAAACATATTAATATTAAATATCATTTTATAAGAGAGATCATTTCTAAATGGATTTTAAAAATTGGTAAAGTTCCCACTTAAGTCAACCCATCAGATATGGGAACTAAAGTAATTCCCCTGAATAAATTTTTAAACTGTTTGAAACTGTTATCTGTTGAATTTTTGTGATGTCTATATATGTATTTTTTGAGCAAATGAAAATAGTATGAAATTGTGTTCTGGACTACACTATGGCCTCAATTCTGGTAGCAAGGTGGATATTGTTGGAATTGAACCGGGTTCACTGGCTGTTCCCATAATTTGGCAAAATCGTGTTATTGAAAGTGCAACTTTACTTAAACTAAAGGTCTCACTGGATGATTGACACATGGACTTATTGCAGCAGTTGGATTGGCTTCTGGATGGTTCTAATACTTAATGTCATTTCATTTGGCATGAGCTCTAGAGCCGATTCTAGGGTTCCATTCGTTCGTTCTCTCTCTCTCTCTCTCTCTGGCTGCGCTATTCTTTGAATACTTTTCTCTGATTTCTCACTGTAAATCAAATCCTTGATTTTAGATAATATAGTGTAATAGAGTGATTCCTTAGTGGAGATATTCTGAGTGAATATATGTGTGAAGTGTTCGTGTGGCTGTGTAGTTGATTCTTTTGGTTTAATGTTCGATTCTTTGTGATTCAAGTGGATCAACAGCTGTATTGTGAGATATAAGCGTTCTTATACTTTCTTTGTGATTGTTTAGAACATTTTTGTAACATTTGTTGCCGATTTGGGCTTTATAGTGGAACCGAACATAATCCATAATATTGGATGCTCAACGGGGGATGTAGGTTTTGGATGTCGTCACCGAACCTCCGGAGCTTAGGCCGAAACATATCGATTGTGTTCTTTAAATTCTATACTTTATTTTCAGTTAACGAACTTTATATTTTCTGTTCTTAATCTAATATCGTATGTCCTCGCTCAACAATATAAATAGAAGCGCATAGGTTGTACTAAATTGTTGTAAATGCATTATCTTACAGAAAGGCATCAACTTCATCAATGAAAAACGGTAAACCTTTTCTGGACTTTTTTGCCCAATCAAACATCTCATGGATTTTGGTAACAGCCTGTGGACAGGGGCGGACCCAGCACCTAGCCAGCCTCTGTGGCCGCCCGTGCTGGATTCGCATGGAGCTTGAAGAATCCACTGCTCCAACGCCGTCCGCCGGGAAGAAGTGAAGAAGGCAGCCGGGTTTGACATTTTTTTTCCTTCTTTCGTTCCAGTTTTTGGGCCTTTCTTAAAACAATAAGGCCCAATTAATTGGGCCAATTTGCAAATTGTAAATCTAAACCAAATAAAATCAAATCCAAATCCCTAAATCCCAAATTTCACCCAAATCGCCAAAGCCAAACGGTAGAGAGGGAGATGATCGGGGTGACCTGCTGGTTGCTGCTGTGCGTCCGATCCGGCTGCTTTTTTTTTTTCTGGCATCCGGCGTTCGCTTCACTCCTGCGGTGTTGCCTGTTAACTGACTTGTGTCTCGGTCGTTCACAAGTGAGTTTGCTGCTGGCTTTATTTTTATTATTTTTATTATTTTTGTTCCTTCATTGTCAGTTTGTGAATTGTGACTAAATTGTGAGCCTCAGAAGCAGAGCCTGTAGTGTTTAGTTGTTTACTGTGATGTGAGGATTAATTTTGTATTTGAAACTTGAGGATTTTGTGAATTCGAGAATCTAAGAATATTGGAGATTTTGTTGTTGAATTTGTGAATTTGTTGCTGGCCAAGTTAAGGTGGATTTTGCTAGCCATGTTAAGGTTGATTTTGTTGCCCAATTTGTGAATTTTAGAATAATTAAAAAATGTAGACTGTGAATCTGATTTGTGAATTTGTGATTTATAAATTATGAGAAATGTGATTTTATATTATATTATTGTGACTATAAGTTATGATTATAATTTTGATTTGTGAATTGTGATTTGAGAATGGGAGACGACNGGTTAACCTGAGTTATGTTCAATAACATTTGCTGTTATTTTCCCTGGTCAGTGCGTCTCTTCAGTTCAGCTAAATTACAAAAACGAGAGGCTCGTGTCAGTGGTAACTGTGAGATATTTGAGGATAAAAGTCTCTTAAATTTTGGGGGTTCTGAATTGGAAAGCTGTTTAATTTGTCTTATATATGTTGTTAATCGGATTTTAAGTGACACCTACACAAACATTGAGAACGTAGAATGCAGCTGTCTAAGATCACAGTTACAGAGTAGGTTATATTGCGTATTTCTTTAGTATTTTGGGTTGCATTGAATTACGTTTTCACATATATATAATTTTTACGTTTTAGTGCGTTAACATATATATTGAGTAATTTTTAATATTATTTAATTCAATATTAATAAACGATCTCGCTCTTACGATCGCTGATTGTCAACGTTGACGGGTCAACATCCGCCCGAGCTGAACTTCAATACTGGGTCCGCCACTGCCTGTGGACATAGTGGTGCAACGTCTCCTCCTGTCATCGTGGCATAATCCAAACCCTACATAACGGGAAAGCAGGCGCAGCTGAGAACATAATTTTTTTTTTTTTTGCATTTCAACGAACACTAGAGCCAAATGCAAGATCTGTATCACAATCGAAAATGGCCGAATTGAACTTACAGAGCATTGACAGGGAGGACGCTGCTTTTCAAAGTCTAATTTTCAAGGCAAATTGTTCATTTTCTTATTTATTTAGCATCAAACTTCATTACACCTCTGTTGTGGAGGAAAGAAAATTTCACACATCAATCAAGAGCCAAGAAAAAGAAGGCATCTATTATACTGATTTTCTAGCTCTCTCTTGCAACCTTAGTTTTACAGGTTCCAGGAGGCCAATAAAAGATCATGTTACAAAATGGGGCTTGGTGAGTCTTAGTGTTTCCAGTAGCCCGAGCAAGGTGCTCTATTCTTTTTTGCAAAATGATGTCTCCAAAAGCAGATTTATTTTGTGCAGGTGCTGCTGCCCTGGCTACTGTACTGTAATTAATCATCTTATTAGATCCTCGAGAAATTACCCAGACCATGGAAATTTTGGCCATGGACGATTCTCGAATCAGAGAAGGTTGCCCAAGAATTCTATTGATATATCCCCATGTAACTTTGGCAACTTCCCCGTGAGCACAAAAACAACAGAATCAAAATCAACATCTTTTAAACATGAAAAAGAAACAGATTTTTCTACGACGAATGAGATCACATTCTCCTAAATTGGTCTGGCATGACAATAAATAAAAAACCTTTAAACAATCCTTGGATATTTCACTTGTAACGAGTTGTACAACACAAGTACACACAATGAATAGCACATTTCAATAACCCTTGTGCTGTCTTGAGTATACATGTAACAATAGTTCAGTTACTTATGTTCCCCTAAAGAACATATCATGAAGATAAGAGATAGGATAAAGATAGGATTTAGATATAATTTTAAAGAGTTTAATCCAAATTATGAGTGTTTAGATTAGATTAGATTAGATTAGATTAGATTAGATTAGGTTAGTTTTAATTTATTGATAAAGTTCTAGTTTATTAGAGGGTCTATAGATTTTAGATTAGTTGCTCTATATATGGAGGGCTTATTCATTGTAATATGCACCCTTTCCTCTTTGCATTGCTTTCTTCACTTCTTTGATCCTCCTTCTTTTCTTGTTCATTGTCAAATTAGTATGCTCCTATATCAACAGAGTTTTACACATTGATGAAACGAAGATATTTTCTAGTTAGGGCCCAATTTATAAGTTATTGTAGAAAAGTGAGTACAACTGAACCCTACTCTGGTTTATACATGTCTATAAGAAACATAATGGGTCAACTACAGCTGTGTCCACTAATACCACATGAACATGGAGAAAATATTAAATACTTTTTCTAGTTCTGCATCGTGCAATTGTGTCATTATCTCTGCGAAAAGTTTAATATCATTTATCTTTTCCAAATATATATAAGAGCAAATTGTTCACACAAATCACCATCTGGTCATTTCCAAACCTTACAAGTCTCACCAAAAGTAAAACTCAACCTTTTTCTTTTCAACAACATATTATAGAAACAGATAGCCTCTGTTTGGGCTACATTTTAATTTTAATGCATTTTTCTTTCTTCTTTTTAACTACACATTTTTCAATAAAATAATATTACACGTAAACTCAAAACTGTTCCTTTTCTTTTAACCACACATTCTCCAAAAAATCACTATTCAAAAATACATTTTTCCCTAAAAACTAATTTTAATGGAGCCCAAACGGGGGCATAGGATACCACAAAATATTGCAACAAGTTAATTTTGATTTATTTAGCTAAAACTATGGCAAAAGAAGGAAGAACAATGCAGAGACCTGGGAGCATAAACTCCAGCAGCTAATGCTGTAACCCCTCCAATGGTCATTAACAACTTACTCATGTCAGTCAATAGAATCCGAAAATCCCCTGCACAGTAAAGTGGTGTAAGAACTGATTAGGCCCCTGTTTGGTTCAGATTAAAATCTAATTTTAATCCAAGTCAAAGTCAAACAATCAATATTAACCACATCTTTCATGGGTCACACAACTTTTCAACCACACATTTCAAAAACTTCTATCACAATCTACTAAAAATCTAATTTTAACTCCCACCAAACACTCTCTAGATCAATATCTACAATAGATTTAAACTGGACAACAATATAATAACAATACACACAAATTTGACCATGTAACTACATGTGGATACTCCACAAAAAAAGCAATAACTAGTCAGCCCACTGTCTGTTTCATGCTTGCAAGTTCTGGATCTACCTTGATGCGTCCCCTTCGAAAAAAATGCCCCCTTCCCAGTTGGAGACAACACATACAAAAAGCATTTGTACATACAAAAAGCATTTGTAGTTCATCCAATTATAGAAGGTTCTTACATTTGCTAACATTAGAGCACTCACATCATTTCTTAATAACTTGGGACTCAAAGGGGCCATGTCTTGTCTCCATAGGACCCTTAGGATCATACAGCTTTAACAAAGATTCATCAACGTAGGCCTTCCACTGAGAGGACATTTTATCTGGTCATCATACAAAGAATGTAAACTCAGTATAGTCATCTTTCCACTTAATCTTCTGATATTGTCCTTTAGAAGGTATAATTATCTAACAAATCGACCTCTAGACATGCTGAGGCACTTTTATAAAAGACATGCAGCGTTCCAAATTCTGCAAATCCTTGATGTGCAATGCAGGAGTACTTAATAAATAGCCAGCTTCTCCTAGATTTTTGCAATATCGAACACTTTCAGCAGAGGGTGCTCTCTCTCTCTCTCTCTCTCTCTCTCTCTCTCACACACACACACACACACACACTGTTTATACATCTGCACATGCCTATGCATGTTGGATGACTGCTTCATCTTCCTTCCATTAGACACACACCTGAATCTCACATTAGCTTA